CCTCTGAAAATACATAAAAAACATTTCCTAGGAAGCATCAGATCAGTGGCTCAAAAGACCTTAAGTATGTGATTTTGATGCTGAAACCTGATGAAATGAGTGACCAGGAATTCAGCAGGTCGTTGAAGAAGGTCTCCTAAAAGGCTGGAGGATACCCAGCATGCATTGGGTGAGAGATGGGGTACAACAGACAAAATAACTTGCAGCTAACACCATGCACCGTTTCAGATAAAGCAAATCTAATCTGACAGTTGATCTAATTCAATATATCTAAAGCCAACTAATAATCTACCATGTTAGCTGAATGCTTAAGAAACCATGAATAATTTAATTTTAATTAGTTGCAAACACTTTGTCCCTATGATTAGCCAAACATTACACCCAGATAATGTATTTATTTAGTTACTGTATGCCTCAGAGAAATAGATTCTTTTTATGTGGCACACTTAGATGAAAATTTAATGATCCCCTTGAGGAAGCTGTGCTTTTGCTGCAGCAAAAGATAGCAGAAAATAAAATATACAGTGTAAATAAGAATCGAGTGAACAGGGTGAAAGGGGATGAAAATGAAAATGCAATTTAAATCACAGCACATGCGGAAATAACAGCAATACGACGCAAGGAGACACAAACAGGATGGAAATATGGATCATATTAAAAGTCCACTATAAGTGTGAAAATAATACATAAAAACAAATGCAACAAGTATAGAAGTATAAATTATAGAAACTTGTTTATTATGGAGTGAATAAAAACAAACAAAGATATATGTCAAGGCAGATGACCACCCACCTAGAGCCGAAGGGTCTGTCCTAGGTTTCTGCCTTTTAACAGGCAGTTTTTCCTTGCCCCCGTCGCCCAAGTGCTTGCTCATGGTGGTACTGTTTGGGTTTCTGTAATTTAACAAAGAGAGTTTGGTCTAGACCTGCTCTGTTTGAAAGTGTCCTGAGATAACTTCTGATTATGAATTGGGCGCTATACAAATAAATGAATTGAATTGAATATGTAATACATGTGAAATACAAAAGGGAATATGTACAGTACATATCACACAGTCCAAACCAGAAGTATGAGCTTATGTGTGGAAGAAGTGTGATGTTATTTGATGTAGAACAAACACGGTTATTTCCTACACATCTTTGTAATAGTAACGTTACACAGAAAGTAAAGGGAAGACCTCCATCTTATATAACATATATAACATTTTTCTATATAAATGTCCTGACAGAGTAATAGTCAACTCTATGTCAGCATTGACACACACACACACACGGGGGAAGAAAAAAGGCCATTTGCTTCACAACTAAATACACTGAATTCACATAATTAGGTAGCAGATTTGGCTTTATGTGGTCACCCGGCTGTACAAACCAGTGAGCATAAACTAATTAAAGCACAGAACTGGTAAACTGTATTGAGTTTGTGGAGGCAGCGGACCTGCAGCACTGCTTCACTTCACACAGAAAGAAAGCAGGACAGCAGAAAAACGGACTGACCCAACCCCATCAGAAAGAGTGCTGGACCATTGGCTGCATCGCCTGACCCATGCATACTGACAACAGCCTGCATGGAGATTATCCAACCACAGCATGATGGGCCTGGAAAAGGTCAGCAACTATGATTAGTTTCTCACACTTCTTTGCCAAAGCACCTGCCACTGATGAGGCTGGACGTATTAGTCTGCACACAGAAGCGTACAGTCACGCCGTTTCTCATCTACTGTTGTATCTTCCACAACCAGACAGAATTGATCCCTTGTTCGCAGCAAAAATAAGCTTGAAGTCAAATGTGAAGCAAATGAATGGTAAGGGGCTTACAGGGATTTGAATGGGGTTTAGAAAAGTTAGATAAAGTTTATTTTTAAATCTGCATGTAAGGAAGAATCTTGGCTCAAGACAGTGCAATTAC